AGATAGATAGATAGATAGATAGATAGATAGATAGATAGACAGACAGATAGATAGATAGATAGACAGACAGATAGATAGACAGACAGTTGATCGACAGACAGACAGACAGATAGATAGATAGATAGATAGATAGATAGATAGATAGATAGATAGATAGATAGATAGATAGATAGACAGACAGATAGAGAGATAGATAGACAGACAGTTAGACAGACAGACAGACAGACAGACAGATACACAGACAGACAGTTATATAGATAGATAGACAGATAGATAGACAGCTAGATAGATAGATAGACAGCTAGATAGACAGATAGATAGATAGATGGGTTGCTGAGCAGTGGGGTGAACATATCCACATTTATTAAGAGCATGCTCTGTAAGCTTATACTGGATGACGTCATGGATTGATTCCGCAGCCACCGCCATTGGCTCAAATGTTTTGCTTGTGCACCCTGAGTCTGCAGCTGCGCACTCCTGACAGTGCTGACTATTGTTACAAATGAGCAGTGTCAAGTGGGCCATTATCAATAGCATCCACCTCCGCTTTGCACTTTCAAAATAAAGTCCTTTAACTGCGCACCCACGTAAAGTATCTGCTTCTAGGGTGCTTTATTTATTAGACCACCATCAACTTCCTTTTTAGCACTGGTCTTAATCTCGGTGATTTGACGCGGCTCAGGGATGGAGGTGTGTTTGCAGAAGCTGTCGGGCTCGTGTTGATGCGGAGCAGAGACGTATCCGAGAGGAAAAACGGGGTCATCGGCGTAAAGGTAGGACACCACCGAGCCACAGCGTCGACAATCGCCTATCCTCCCGGTGACTCTCACGTCTCTGTCCGAGGGGGGTCTGATCCAGAGTACCAGTCATCCTACAATGGGCTGGGGGAGATCAACTCAACCCGGAGAATGTGCAGAGAGCCGAGGATAGGATCCAGACAATCGCACCGAATCAATGAGGGCTTCTCTCTCTCCTCTCGGCCCCGGTGTCTGACAGCCAGCCGCGCACAGTGCGTAAAAGTTCTCGGAGCAGAGAGGACGTGCCTCCGTGGAGCTGTGCTTTAAATGTTGAGATCCCGCCCTTGTCGGAAATCGTTGTAGCGACTCGAATTCTTTATAGTCCCGCCGAGCGGATGGAGTGAATTGTGCCAAAAGGGGGAGAGGGACAGAGCACAGTTTGGCTGCGTGTGATGATAGGAGACACAATGACGCTCTTGTCTCTTCTGGGTCGGATCATGCGCTATTTTCTCCTCAGGCCGGAGACGCTGTTCCTGCTGTGCATCAGTCTGGCGCTGTGGAGCTACTTCTTCCACACGGACGAGGTGAAGACCATCGTCAAGTCCAGCCGGGATGCCGTGAAGATGGTGAAGGGGAAAGTGGCGGAGATGATGCAGAACGACCGGCTGGGAGGCCTCAGCGTCCTGGACGCTGAGTTCTCCAAGACCTGGGAGTTCAAGAACAACAACGTAGCCGTGTACTCCATCCAGGGCCGGAGGGATCATATGGAGGACAGGTTCGAGGTGCTCACCGACATCGCCAACAAGAGCCACCCGTCCATCTTCGGGATATTTGATGGCCACGGTGGAGAGGTAGGCTGGGATAGGCTACACAGGCCAGCAACACACACACACACACACACACACACACACACACACACACACACACACACTACAGACCCATCACACATTCAGACCTGACGCTGCAGGAGCTCTCAGCATCACTTTGATTCAGGAGGAACAAACTAACACATTCTGGAGATTGAATATGCAATAAATACAAATTCATTCTTATTTACAGTATCATGATAGAACTGTAATTAACTCTTCTGGACACCATAGAGATGCTGGTTACTATGGGAAAACAGTTATTTGAATTGGGGCACATGCATACAGCACTTCATACGTACCCCATTTTCAAATGCAGCAGCCCCCCCCCCCCATTGTGTTCTTCTTTTGTGTAGACAACTCCTCCATGCCACTGCCAGGGAGTTGACTTGGGATTCATCACAAAAGACTGTGTTGTGTGTATTGTGTGTGTGTATTGTGTGTGTGTGTGTGTGTGTGTGTGTGTGTGTGTGTGTGTGTGTGTCCTTGCCTTGTCAAGGGTCAGTAGTTTCTCATGGCTGCCTACAGGCCACATGTCGTGCACCATCTGTCACCACTGTCCCCTGAGGTTCCTACATGGGACACATTTCAAGGAATAACACTGCTCTCACTTTTTTATTCAACTAATATTCTATCACAACAAAACCTAAGGGGAATGACATAAAAGCCAGTTTTTCAGTAACTACAGACATTTTCTTAAGCAAAGAGAGTTGCTGCAGTGGTATAGGAGGAAAAACCAGTTTTTAAAGGTCCAGTGTGTAAGATTCGGGTGAAAGGAATTTTTGTCAGAAATTGAATATAAAATAACCCTAGTGATGTTTTCACTGGTGTGTAATCGTCTAAATTGTATGAATTGATGTTTTCTTTACCACAGAATGGGCCCTTTATATTTAAACACTTTATATTTACATCAGGGGGTCCTCTCTGTGGAGGCCGCTGTGTTTTTTACGGTCGTCCAAACTGGCCAAACTAAAACCTTTTGAGTTTTTATGACAACTGAAGTTCACCACAGGTTCTCTTTCATGTTGGGAAGGGGAGTTGAGGAGTATTTAGCTGCAACATGCAACTTCACCTCTAGATGTCACTAAATTATACACAGTGAAACTTTAAAGCACTTTGTGGACAAAGTATGTGTCAATCATAACAATCATTTCTCTGTCAGACATGCAATGCATCCAGTTTTAACTCTACACAGAAAAATACTCTTGCTGTGTTCTGTTAGAGAGAAAGGGAGACAACAATCTCTTTGCGTTCCTGTCCCATAAAATACATATTTGTCCTTCCTGTCAGTCACAACATCTGTCTCACCCTTTCTCTCTATCTTATAGGTCTTGCTCTTCTGCCATCTGTTTTTCCCCCCCTTTCTTCTCTTTGTGTCTATATTCAAATTGGTTGTTCCTGTTCGCCCTATTCCTTTATCGTTTTTATCTTTACCTTTTATCTTATTTTTATTCCATCTTTTAGTTGTCACCCTAAATTGGGATTTCTGACCTCAAACATAATGGGTCACTTTGACATTAAGTTGATACAAATTATTTTAATTTGATTATTTAGTTGAATTTACTCAATTAAATGATATTAATTATTACATTTTAATTAATTTCCCTATAGCTATTACAGGGTCAGTAGCATCAGTACACATGTGTTTATGTAATTAACACAGTTTTCAGAGCAGACAAGTCTATAATGTTAAGGCTCATTTGACAAAGTTTTGTTTACCCTCTGCGACTCAATGTTAATATGTTGGTGGAAAACTGTGCATGTGAACTTTTCAGAAGGTTTATTTGCTTGTGGATTTATTAATTTTCTTTGCCGTTTGGCACAACTGTAAACAAACACACACACATTCGGGCAGACACACACACACACACACACACACACACACACACACACACACACACACACACACACACACACTAAGTGAAGCAATGTTGCCAAGCCAAATATATGGGCAGATGAAACTGGGCAGTCTCTGGCGGTGCAGTCTGTTCTGACTCTGAAAATATGCAGGACATTTCTCTAACACAACTTTGTTTTTTTATCATGTCGAGTTGAGTAATGGCCCAGGATTGTAAAAGTCAGCACATACCGCAGCTCTTTTTAACCTGATTTACCGACACTGTTTGCTACTAGAGCAGGAGCTGTGAGCAGTTTGCTTCTTTAAAAGGCTTTCACATTGCTTTTTCTGTATAAAATAAAATGTATAGTCACATACTACTCAACCTTCTTAAGAAGCTGGCCAATTTACCACATTCACATTGTTAAATCCTCGAGCTGAATATCATTTGAGACATTTGTGAGGCCTGTAGCTGCTGCTTTCAGCTGTTTACTCAAAATGGAAATTTACACTCCTCTCTCTCTCTAATTAAATAAATTAATGAGTACATTTGTCCAGCAAATGGAAATTAAAGATGGAGGCAGCAGGAAGAGATGGTTTTATTCTAATGATCCTAACTATTGTATTAATCTCATATGTTGCATCTCTTTGATCCCTGTTGTATATTACTTCCAGCTCTACTTTACTGCAGGAGAAACATTTAGAATGGAATCAGAGTGGTTGTCAGTTCAAACCTCATTTATGTTTTTTTTGTTTTTGTTAAGAAAAATGTATTATAGAGGTTTAAAAGTTTAGCTGTTGCTCACTCATTAATTGAAAAACAAATTCATGATCATATTCATGAAAAGTAGAAACAGGTACGAAGCATAAACATAACTTAATAAATAATAATAATACATTTATTGTTAATTCACAAAGCAGATACATACTTGTGTGGCAGAACTGCTAAATTATAACACTACAGCAAAGCATGTAGATTGAATGGCCTGATTGTGTCCTAATTTCCACATGAACTTGGAGTATATTTATATATATATTCTGCTTCTACCAAGATATTAATAAGATGGTATATTAATTTCCCCCATTTTTACATTTCATTCAACCGCATTAGCATAATGGAAATCTTGGCAGAGAAAATGAGAGAAGAGGCAGATAAGTGAAGCGGGGGGAGGAGGGCAAGTGGGCTGAAGGATGTTCAATAATTCAGCGCAGAGCAGTTGCTTTATGGAATGAAAAAAACCACTCCTCTAAATTAGAGTTGTATAGAAATGTATCACCTGGCAACCATGGCAGAGAGATCCCAATTTCACAATATTATGGTGACATACTAAACAGAGGATAATTAATCTTAAGTGTGATGAAATGTATATGAACATATAATTTAGTGGAACCCTATGAGCAGATTCTTCTCAACTTGTGTAGAAAAAATAAAAGCACAAAATTAACTGTCAAGCTTGGGCTCTTTGAGGCAGCACCAAGGTGTAAACACAAGGATTAGACATACGTGTACAAACCTCACAACATTGCTACGATAAACATATCAGCAGAGAGCAAGTTTAGGGCCAGTATTCCCCATCTTTAGATAAATACCCAACTGTAGTATCTATCTTTCCTAACCTCCTGACTTCCCTCCTCTCTCCCAGGCTGCAGCTGACTACGTGAAGGCCCACCTGCCCGAGTCCCTGAAGCAGCAGTTGCAGGCCTTCGAGAGGGAGAAGAGGGAGAGCACCCTGTCCTACAGCAGCATCCTCGAGCAGCGCATCCTGTCTGTGGATCGGGAGATTCTCGACAAGCTCTCGGTCAACCATGACGAAGCAGGTCAGGAAGGGAGAGGGCAGTGGTGGGGAGGGAAATATATGCTGTGTGTGTGTGTGTGTTGGGGGGGTCAGTTGTGAGGGTGTTGGAAGAAGAGTTGGACAATCAGACTTTAAACATTTGTAGTAAAGATGTGTTTTATGCCTCCGTGCTGGTGATAGCCAGTGTCAGGAGATATTTTTTCGATTTTAGTTGTCAAAGGTCAAGGTCACAAACACAAGTTTTGCTTTATGAAGGTGATATCTGACAAACACCTCAAGGGAATCCTTTCAAATTTGTCACAAACGTTCACTTGAACTCTGGGATAAACTGAATAATTTTGGTGGTCAAAAGTCAAAGTCATGAAAATAATGATTGTAGACTGTTGGGCAGTAATTCTAGTTGTGAATGAAAATGTGAAAAGGCATCTGAAAAACATATATAACTGTCTTAAGAGAGTGTTTATAGCTCTGTAAGCCATGAAATATTCCATGTCACATCTCCTTCACCTTAAACAGAGATGTTAAAATGATGCCTTCAAGTGCTCGTTCGTTCGGCGTTCACACTGCCTGCCTCTTAAAGGACACTGTACTTCATAGCTCCTCGTCTATCAAATAAAATCAGACAGTTTCCTGTATGAGATTTTCTCTCTCTCACTTCCTTGCTGACATTTAACTCTTTGATTGGTTCCTTTTGTGCACTTCACTCAAAGTGTAGACTGAGAAGTTTGAGACTGTCGTGTTGTAACACTGTGCTGCTGCAGCCAGAACAGATTTGAGATTTCCCGTCTTCTTTTGTTGGCCTATAGTTTTTCAGTGTTTAGTCTGGTGTAGCTTACACATTTTTGTCGTTATTTTATATGCATTGTACTAGACCTACCATTAGCCGCAGCCCAAACACGTTTATTAAGCAATGACCTCTTGACCTGTGGTTCCACACCGGAATCATTTGTGATTTGTTCCTTTGATTTATTGCCCTTTTCTTCCCAAAAAATCTATGATTCAAACTTTAAAGGTCAAGCTGACCTATGTTTCATCACAGATTACTGAAGTGCACCGTAGTGTGGACTGTAAATAAAAAAATGCTGTAGAGTGGCTCAATACTATTTTTTATTAATCATCACAGGATAATAATAATACAAGCTTCCATTGCTCCCAGCTGTTTAAAATTATAACACATTTTTGTGATTTTTCAAAAAATCTTAATCTAACAGCACCATCTGCTTTTTCCTTCCCTTTCAATTTTGTCTTTCTGTCTCTCTTGCAGGAACAACATGTCTGGTAGCGCTGCTGTCGGACAGAGAACTCACGGTGGCCAATGTTGGAGACTCTCGCGGCGTGCTGTGCGACAAAGATGGGAACGCTGTCGCACTGTCACATGATCACAAACCCTATCAGCTCAAGGAACGCAAGAGGATCAAGAGGGCAGGTATGTAAGGGAGCAAAAACACAAAACTATACTACACATCCCTGTATATTGGATTTGCACAGGGATGTGTAGTGCAGGATTATCAAGGCCCTTAGCTGCCTCCTGCTGGTCTGTGTAGGTACAGCATTGTATTAAGCAGGACAGTGTCAGAAATAAATACCTAATCTGTGTGATTAAAGGATTTTCTCAAGTTAGCATGTATCACATTATCTCAATTCAATTGAGTCTGAAAGCAGTAGCTACTAGACACGCAACTTGTCTGTTTTGTAACACTCACACGGTCAAACAAGGACTCAAAACAGTCCATGATTTATTTTCATTATCTTTCTACATGCATCCATTTAAATCTTCATTTCCAGGAGGTTTCATCAGTTTCAACGGCTCCTGGAGAGTGCAGGGCATCCTGGCGATGTCCCGCTCTCTCGGGGACTATCCACTGAAAAACCTCAACGTGGTCATCCCCGACCCAGACGTCATGACCTTTGACCTGGATAAACTGCAGCCGGAGTTCATGATCCTCGCCTCCGATGGCCTGTGGGATGCCTTCAGCAACGAGGAGGCTGTCCGGTTCGTCCGCGAGCGCCTGGACGAGCCTCATTTCGGCGCCAAGAGCATCGTCCTTCAGTCCTTCTACCGCGGGTGCCCTGACAACATCACCGTCATGGTGGTGAAATTCAAGAGTGGAGCCGGGGGGAGCAGCAGCAAGGCGGGGTAGTAGGTTGAGTCTAGAGCTCATGTTGCAATCAGTGTTTTCTGTGATATTTTTTTTTCCCTCTCATCTTTTGGAGCAGCAACATCAGAGGAAGACTGAGAGAATATGAAGTATAGACACTGAGAACTGGACTTTTAACAAGTGCACACACACATATACAGGCAAACATAAAAATAAGATTTGGTTTTATTTGTAGGTCTCTGAATAAGACGAGGACGTGTAAATACAATATAGACCCAATAGCCATCTGCCAACTTAAAGGGATAATTCACTTAAAAACTAAAATTCATCATTCATCTACTCACCAGTATGAAGATGGAGGGGTGGGTGAAGTGTTTGAGTGCACAAAACACTTCTGTAGTCTCAGAAGAAAACTTTGTGGCAGCAGAATCCAATACAATTGAAGTGAATGGTGACCGAGACTTAAGATGTAATAAAACAACAGAAAAAGCATAACGTGCCTCCATACTGCTTGTGTGGTGTCATCCAAGTGTCCGCAAGCCCCGACATTCATATTCGACTGGAAATTAGGTCATTTACACAATGTTTTTGGCCTGAAGTGGCTAAGCTGGCAGACTCAGCTACACAATGGTGTGTCCCAGGCTCCATGAATGACATTAAGGCTTTAAACACGGTGTAAATGACCTTGTTTCTAGTTGAATATGAATGTCGGGGCTTGCGGACACTTGGATGACACCACACGAGCAGCATGGAGGCATGTTATGTTTTTTCTGTTGTTTTATTGCGTCTGAAGTCTCGGTCACCATTTACTTCAATTGTATCTGATTTGGCTGCTACAAAGTTTACTTCTGAGACTCCAAGGTTTTTTTGTGGATTCAAACACTTCAACCACCCCTCCATCAGCATACTGGTGAGTAGATAATGAAAGAATTTTCATTTGTCAGAGAACTATCCCTTTAATGACAAACACATTCAAAAACAGATGTTCTCCAACACTGGAGATGCATTAAAACGCAGGACAAACCGACACCAGATGGGTTTTCTTTCAACCAGCACACTACAGACTGTGATTGATTTACTACTGTTTACTGCACATGGATGGTCAGCTCCACTGGAGGCTTCGACAGACAAGGCTCCAACTAGTGCCTACTCAACAGTTACTGTGCAACTACAGGAAGCTACTGACAATGACGATGATTTGCAAAGAACACACTGCTTGCTGCATTTTGATGATAATGTATGTGTACCGTACCACCTTGTTGACCTGGAAAAAAATTTATCGAAATAAAAAAGAAGACTCCAGTGGATGCCTACCTTTATCGAACTTTAACTGATGCTACACTTATAATCTAACTTTTGAGTATCAGACACACGTCCCATGCACACTTAAGAGGTCGCTGTTAAAACGCCCACACCAATGAATAATCACCATCAAAACAATTTGTCACTATCACCTAAACGTGCACAGCTATTTTCATGGAGGCTGAAACTGCACATTTGTACGCCACCTTTCAAGTTTGCACGAGACCAGTGATTCGTAAAAGCTAAATTATGGGTCTGAACATGCAACATGCTCATATGCACACAGACACACATAGAGTTTGGAAAAAAGTGCACCTTTCAGATGTTTATTTTTTTGGAATGGTGAATTCTTATTACATATCAGCCAATGTAAATACTGTATATCCTCAGGAGGGTTTCAATGTATGTAGAACCTGATCCTCATTTCTTGATGATGCAGTTTTATGAAGCTAACAGGAAGTGACTTCGAGCCATCTGCATCAGGGCATGTGCTTCAGCGTATCCATGTTCGCAAACAAAATGCTTCCATGGACACTGGTGGCCTGGGGAGCATACGAAGCAGGATGTGCGACAGGCTTGCACGTCTCTGCCGCATTAAAAAAGTGACTTAAACATGACACATCGTGTACTGTGCAGCTGCAGCTGCAGTGCCAGTATAGCCAGAAATATGATATGCTCCTGACGCAACACAGCCAGTGTCATTGACAGCCTGTCGAGGAAGGTTACAGTAAACCATTACTGATTTACTATAAGTTCAGTTTTTAGCACTGTGTACCATGACTTTATTCACATCAGCTGGAAGAAGCATTTTTTTATTTAATGGTTTCTCTAAGGCCTTATTTATTGTTGAGTTTCTGGATGTGTCAAATCAATGTTCTGTTCTGTCCACTCATCTTTTTGTCCTTCTGTATATGAGCAGAAGTTTACAATAAAACCGATCAAGTTAACCTGAGATGCAGTCTGTGATTCACACAGTTATGTGTTGAGAATTTCTGTATGGAAAAAAAATCAATATTAAACGAACTGTTCAATCTGAAATCTGTTTCCTCCCTTTTGTCTGTGTTATTAAAAAAGATGTGGCGTTCATTGTGGCCTCTAGTAACTGCATGCTCACTGCAATCATAGTGCCATTTTCAGATTCTGATTCAGCTTCATTTCACTTTTCTATTACATGTCACAGGGAACAGATGCAGAACTCCACAGATGACTTTTAAAAATAAAATGAGACACATTATTCACATAACATTAAAATATTAAAGGCATAAAAAGAGAGGCATTCAATTGAGGTCTATATTGCACTTTTTGCTTTATACTTAACACTTTTTAATCCATGCCTCTCTTCTAGCTGCTAGAGTCTGAGGTGCCTTGCTTAAGGGCACAAGAAGACTAAATGTGTAGAGGTGTAAGGGTTGTCTTCTCTTCGTCTGCTTTCTATCGCCTCTGCAGAAATTTGAATACATCTGCACTATATGGGTCTAAACTCTTAAAAGCTTTGTGGCCTGAATCTCTGAGAGATCAACAATCATAAGACATTAGGTGGTGACATCAGAATTAGTTTTGGGGAAAACACGTGACGTCTTCAGAGCGTTTCTGGGATGCCGCTGTCCGACCACACAAATACTTTCCCCGTGACATGACTCTGCAAAGCAACTCAACACCACTGCGGTCTCCAGACGGTGGCGCACTCGGCCCGGAGGCACACGCTGGTGCCAAGTTTACAGACGGTCTGTACCAGGTGCATGTGCTCAGAATAACTCGGACTGATCCAAATGCTTGAAACCACGTTGCGACGTTACCCATAAAGTCAAGTGCGTCACTCAACAGCTTTACTGGAACTATTTACTTATTTAAAATTGGTTTGGCTCTTTATAAGTGAGGCAAGGGTGCGTAGGCAGCAGGGGAAGAAAGTTGTAATCCGTCCAACTCTCACATACGCAAAAATAGAAACGGGTTTGTTTTTCCCTCAGGTTGTTTTTCTCTTTAAGTTTCAGTATGGGACAGCAAGGGTCCAAATCCTCCATGGAGTCGAGGGTGCTTTTCCACCGCGTTGGCGTAGTGGACATGTATCAGAGAACCGACTCTGTAGTTCACATCCAGAAGAAGGTGACCGTTCAGTCGGTCTCTCCTCGCTCCGCCGCCCGGGCACTGGAGAAGTCTTCGCCCCATCCTTGGCCCCTGCAGAGCCGCGGTGACGGCGCGGGGCTGGTGTACGTGATGGATAACCCAACCGGCGGCGTGTGGGTGAAGCCGGGACAGAACTGGACCAGATCTTGATGGGACAGAAAAAATTAAGTGGAATAAAAACGAATTCATGGATGGGGTAAAGTCAAGCAACCCCAGTCGTTGGATGCACCGTGTGCTTCTTTCAGCTTTGGCGAGCAGTGGGATGCGGGTGATATCAGTTCCTGGGCTGTTGCGCCTCCACGACTTGAAGTGGATTTAAATCGTCTCCGCGACATTGAAGAGTTGTTGGACTGATCACTGAAATTCACTGATTTAGTCTGGTGACTCACTGTTGGACTGGAAGACGATGAGAAGATGCACAGATTACTTTCTTGTTTGAAACTTTCGTTAATAGGAGTAAAAACAAAGTGTATTTTCAGATAAATGTGGAGGAGATCAAATAAAGACATGGAGTTGGTATTAGCAGATGTTTAGGCCCATACTTCTGAGTAGAGAGCAAACCAATCTGCTATGTCCAACCAGCAGCCAGTGGCTTGTCAAGAGTCCACTTTTGTTGACTGGGTGAAAACTGCAGCTTTCCATTGGCTGAACAACTTTCATTTATTTTTCATATACCGTCTTATTTGACTTAACCTTCGCTAATACGATTCACTTTATAGTGACATTTTTTTATTTGTAATACATTTCATCAGATTTGTTTGAATAATGATTGTAGTTTGAATGTTATACCAGATCAGGTTAAGACATGTTTGAATGTGTTTCAGTAACTCGAGCCTGGCATAACAGCAGAGGAGTTCTACACGGCTCATTTTGTTTTTGAGAAGCTTGAGGATGTTCTGGAGTAAGAGGTGGTGAGTCTGAGGATTGTCACCCACCTCTCAGGGGATCTGAGGACGACTGTTTGTTTGTTGAAATGAACATTTAAAGATTTTAAACCTCACTTTATTCATTTATTTATTTTAGAGACCAGCACAACTTCTCATAAGCTGCGTTTCTGTCTTTGTGGGGTTAGTCATTGTTCATTATTGTTACTGTGCATCGTGTTTAGCTGTCACTCACACTGATCCTGAAAATTAAAATCATGGAACTGAGATTTGACTATCTCATTTGAGTATCTCATAATTGTCTGCCTCGGTCAACAGGCAAAAAAAGAGAACATATTTATCGTTTATTCATTTTAATTTAGAAGTATTTTTGATTGGGTGGTTATATTTCATGATATTTGGGTTACAGATCCAATCAAAATCATTTTCTTTTGATAATTTCAATGTGCTTTTAGTAGTAGGATATATAGACTATTTCCGTTTATAACCCATCGAGCATTCTGGATAATATCACATGGATAATGTTGGTTTTACAGTGGCAATAAAAGCACATACAATCCAAGAATATCCTCAGGTGTAAACTTTGCCCTCTGCATGGAGTGTTACCTTATCTGTGCGCACCGAGTTATGAGCAGCGTGGAGCTAATGGCTCATCTATTAAACTCCGGGCAACGCACTAAGCAAACATTGCGTCAAAGGGGAACTGTGAGGGGAAGATGTGACTGTCCCACTCAAATTGATTGTCTTCACCTCTCCACGTCGCCATGGGTCTTCGAGGATCCAAACTACCTGAAGTCCAAGTTCTCCTGCTGGGCCTGGATAACGCTGGGAAATCGACACTCCTCTACAAACTGAAGCACAACGCGTGTGTCAACACCGTCCCCACCATCGGCTTCAATGTGGAAATGCTGGAGGCGAGAAAGAGCAGGAAGACCATCGCCCTGACTCTGTGGGATGTGGGTGGTCAAGGGAAGATGCGGGAGCACTGGAGGAGTTTCCACCAGGACGCAGCGGCCGTGGTGTTCGTCGTGGACAGCTCGGACAGGACGCGTCTGGAGGAGGCGCGCAGGGAGCTGGACAAGACGCTGAGGAGCGAGCAGCTGACGGGACGTCCGCTCATTCTGCTCGCTAACAAACAGGACGTGAACAGAGCTCTAACAGTCACTGAAATCAAGGACAGGTTCAACCTGGAGAAGATGTGTCACGGTCGGGACTGGTTCGTTCAGCCTTGCTCCGCGTCCACGGGATTTGGAGTAGAAGAGGCCTTCAGGCGAGTGGTCCAACTGGTCAAACTCCCGTCAGACCCCGCTGCGATGAAAGACAATATCAAGGACACAGTGCACTACCTCAGAGCAAGCAGCAGACCTTAAGGTTTATTTATGTAAATGTGTTGATTTTGTTTTACATTTAAAGTGCTTTACGTCAAAGGTAAATCATATTCAAAGAGATTTGACCTTTTTCTTCAGTGTATCAATAGGAACAATCGCCCGTCAATAAACCGACCAAAGAATAAGTAATAAACAACAGTAACAAGTGCAACTACTGAACGTTGCACGTTGCAATAAACAGTGAGTAGAATATAAGGCTATCGTTATGGTATCATGGGCATCACAGGAAACAAAGGACGCCATGATATATCAAAACAACTGTGGAACAAGATGTTTTCACTGGTGGGTGCATATCTTCTTTCAATAATTAAACAGAGTTCGATTATCTGTCGTTGACACCTACAAGCACAATAAAGTCTTGAGTTCACAGGTGTCTCACATTTCAGTAAAGGTCAATAATGAACAAAGGTAGTGAAGCAAAAATAAGTTTTTAAAGTTTTGGTGATATGCACTGCAGCACTGATCCATTTTGTAAACAATGTATTTTGTTGTTTATCCTTTCAGTTCGACAATGGTGCACTTTCATATGTTGGTGACCTATTAATAAATACATGTTTTTCTATTTCTCCTGGTCAAGATATTAATATGCAGCTATAAATATTGGAAGGTCTTAAGGGTTAAACCACTAGGGTTTCTTTCAATAATCCACCAGTTTGCTATAGTGACAATGCTTGATGAATTCAAGAGCCATTGAGGCATAACCGAAGGGACCTGGCAACCCCAAGCTTGGTCTGATAAAAGGCTTATTGATAGTGATGAAACATTTGATGATCTATCAACATTTAAAGCTATTGCACCAATAAAGGAAGATTTACCAAAAAACGAAGCCAAACATGGACACTCGGTTGGACACATTACTTGGAACAATAAAGGATAAAATATTAGATCAAATATAATTTTTCCAAAGCGTCAGACTGCAAGGGAAATACCAGACAACTTCCTAACTGGTTTTGGTTCTTATATATCCACGTTGATTATATAAAATACTATTTAAATGTGTAGTACTGTGTAATCCACTTGGTCCTCGTCATGTGGTCTGTCCCAGCGAAGACTGTGGCCGTCCTCTCCTTTCATCATCCCGCACCGTCTCTTCATATGTCGGCAGCCGTTTGCATTCATCGTACGTGGGCAGCTGGGCAGCTGATGGTGCTAGATCCATGGAGTGGTCCGGTGCGCAGCTCTCTATAAGCGGTTCTTGGGATGTAGTCCCCGTTGGCTGTCCGGCGGGTGGCGGGGTGACCTGGCTGGATCTGGAACACAACACCCTCTGGATAAAGTATCCCACAGCAAAGAGAAGAAGCAAAATAAGAACCCCGGAAAGTTTCCGTGTGACCATGGCGATGTTGTAGTAAGTAGTATCCACTAATTGCTTGCAACAGGTGACGGCGCTGGTGTCGTTCCCCTGTGCGCAACAGATCTGGTTGTCCCGGCAAATTTCCTTTCCGCATCTTCTGATGGAGTAAACAACCGCGAGACAGCAAACGGTGAACGTCACCATCAGTTGGCATCCGTGGAAAAACATCGCTGTTTTGTTCAAAACGAGATGGGAATGATCCAGTGAAGCTCGGTGGAGACGTTTGGGAGAAACAGGATGCTGGCGAGACGAATCTCTTGAGGATGCTCTGGTTGGAAGGCTGACGCAGAGCCACAAGCAGCGCGCAAGCATGACAGAGGACGCACAAACAGGGAACAAATAAGGGAAACGAACACATCGAGTAGTTCAGACTGAGTATTCACAAAAGCACAGTAAGCTGAATGTGCATGTACTGTCTTTGCAACGTACACATATTCTAACAAACATGGCATTAACTCCTAAGTGTCCTTCAGTTTCCCCAGGACTTATTATGCACTTAGCAGGTATAATGGTGCCATCAAGCAAGTCGTAAACACAGTAGGTTATTATATCTAGAGGCCTATTATTTGACAGGCGCCCAGGAAATCGCTTAGTCGCGTGGGAAGCTCTGACAAATGACCTCTGATTCATTATAAAGACTGGAGGGGACATTACAAGGCCTCATTGTTTCATGGATGGGAAAACAACCAGGGTCGCTGTCCGTGGTGCTGACACAACTAAACTAAAAATGTTCCACCTGGCAACAGCACAAAGATCCATTTCCACTTGCAATATTAATACTGCGTAATGTGGATCAGGAGGTCAAGTCAGTTCAGCACTTAAAAGCTTGCAATGGTTTGGTTTCCGTCCATGTCAGATGATGGGCAGCCCGTATATGATGCAAAGTGAAAGTGCTACCCCTGTATCCAAACCTATAGGTAGACTGCAGCAACACATGCAAAACAGCAGTTTTACAGCACATGCTTAAATCACAACTCTGTCTTTAAAGTTAGAACTGAGTGAAGGAACAAAAGCTACTCAAAGGATACAATTTTGATAGAACATCAACAGTAGGCCTTTATTATAAAGAAATGGGTCTTGTTTTACTGGATATGACAAGAAGAGCAAGCATTTTATATGCCATTATGTATTCCTCACAATGATTAATCAATTAAACGACTACATGATGAGTAGGTTGTGGGTGGTAATGGAGGGAAGTACTCCCTAATAGCATGTATACTTTTCTCCTCTGTTCAAAATATCCTGTATTGTTTGATGAATATATTCAGTGGATGTCTGGATGTTTCACACAAACACACAACACATCCCTCTGCTGCTCAGGCCTAATGAGTCTGAGTGCCTAAAATCCAATACAAATTAAATTGTTTGCTAAAGCCATATCGAGTTCTTGGCCAAGAACTACCGGATGTTGAATTTTGTAAAGATCAGATATCAAATCATGGAGAAAATGGTCATGTTCTTACACAAGGCAGATAAAAAAAAAAAGCACCAGGTTTTATGTGGTAATATTTATTTTACAGAAAATAACTATAAAAATAATAAATACCATTTGAAGTACATAAAAATGGTTACATTGAAAATGCTTAAAAGGAAAATTTGCAGGAAAAATGATTTCAAGTAAGGTGAGATTCAAATGATGTTGACCTGTTCACAGCAGCAGTGGAATTATTGTTCCAGTGTACCACCCTCAGTGTCAGGTGGTCTTGTTCTTTGGTGAAAGCATAGTTCTTGGATTTGTTGGCCTTGATACAGATTTGCTGGATGGGAGCACACTGAGGGGTCCCAGGTGTAGAGTTCTTTCTGAAATACAAATCATATAAGGTGTCATTAAAAACATGAAAACCTTTTTCAAATGCACTCACAATCACTTAGATGTCACTGTTTAGTTTGCAGCTTGAATATTTGGAGGGTGGGGGGGAAAAAAAAAAAAAAGAGTCTTTACGTGAGATGTATACAGTACACGAGTTTGAATTACTTATAGATTGATTGAAAAGTAAAAATTCAGTTTGCAAACTATCTGTTGTACTCACCTGCATTTTGCTCTGTTCCTCTCTTCATTAATCTCGCAGAAGATTGAGGTCTGTCGAGCTGCCTCACCTGCACTCCTGGTCGGAAACGCATGTAACTGGCTGGGGGTTGTTCAGGTCTGTTCTGGACTGAACTTTCCTGTGGAATCATGTTGGACAAGGCTTGTGAGCTGGCGATAGCTTTGGGGGCCTCGGTGAGTGGAGGCTCCTCAATCCGGTGGGAGATGTCGCAGCTTCTACATTCCTGGTCATTCCCTTCAACTGACCTCCATCTGGACAAGGAGGGAATTTTCTAATTAGATAATACTATGACACTTAACTGACCACGCTGACTATGAAACTCAATAGTTTAACAGATTACCTGTTCTCAATCAAAGAGCAGGCCCTGTTTTGTGAGCTGACAGTTGATGTGACAGGAACAGCCTTCACGTAGCAGGTTATGTAGACCTATGGGAGTGATTAGTGTGAAATACAAAACTACTTTTAGGCCTCATATACAAAAAAAGAAAACTTTAAAAGGGATAGTTCACCCAATAATTCAAATTCACTCATCTACTCACCACTTTGCCGATACAAGATCAGCAACCTTGCAAAAGCTGCAGTTAATTGGGTGAGACCTTGTGTGTGGTGTGTGTGCACAAACGTGACTCCGGGCTAGGAGGATAACAGCGGACATTAAGGCTAAAAACATGATGTAAATAATGCTGTTTGGAGTGGAATTTGAATGTCAGGGCTAACAGACACTTGGATGACATCACAGGAGCAGTATGGAGGCATTTTATTTTATTTTTCGGTGTTATTCTGTTGGAAGAAGTGGTTCAACTTTTGTGAACTTCTTCGCGTATTTTTGACTAGGCTGTAACAGTGCAGTAAACTCATGCTGGTAAATACAAAATTCAGACAGCCAGGGTTTGTGATGTCAAATAGCAAGAAAACCAATCATGTCAACTTGTAGGTGGAGCTCAGTAGCTGGAAAAGGCTCCTCAACTGCAGGTGAATTGGGAGGGTGGAGAGATGGGGAGCAAGGGCGGGGCCATATTAGCATATTTATAAATCCCAGTCATGACATGAGGAAGGTTTAGTTACAATCAAGTCTTTTTAAGGCATTGGGGGATTTTTTTTTTCATGACTAACCATTTGAATATATAATTTTGAGAAAAAAGAAATGTTTTAGGGGGGTGTATTAAGCTACCGGAGTGGGACTTTGATAGAACAATAGAAAGGAAAGGCAACTGACCTGGTTTTTGGGCTCTTGGTAAAACCTGAATGCATCCAGCTGAAATCTCAGCTTGTGCTCCTCACCTCTTGGTAGGAAATGTGAGCTGGAGTTTGTCAGGTAAGCATCAGTAAGACACCTGTTGTAGCAGCAAAGGAAAAAACAAATGTTGAAATGCTGTTGACAGAAACTGCAATCAGGTATTTTATGGATGAACTGTGGTCATGGCACTCACCCATAATGCTCAATAAAGTCGTATTTTATTTTTGCCTCTGCATCAGGGGTTGCTGTGGCAACACAGTGGTCAACATAGACTCGCAGGGGCATGTGGTTACCAAGGATGGCCGAGACTTCAAAGTGAATGGGGTCACTCAGGAAATATGAGTACGATGCCCTCTCAAACTGCCAGTCTTCTAAAATAATGATAATAATAAATATTAAATAAAAACATTGTCACTCAAAGTTAATTGTTCATGAGACTACAAAAGATTCCTGGACAAAAAACAGACATTTTTTTTTACCAGTCATGATTCGCAGATTGAAATCGATCTGGTCTTCAGCTGAGGTTGTGGAAACAAGAGGAATCCAGGTGGGCTGCAGAGAAATGCCATCCACAGCATACCTCCTGAAAGTAGACAAGTCAGTCCATCACCTCAAGATTCAGTCTCAGCATTATTAGAAATCATTCAAGAAACTGCATCCAACAATACACACAACCGACTGTGTCAAAATTATTGTGCTTACTTCTCATAATGGCATTCAACTTGAATTGTTGCACCATCCAATCGATGCAAACCATGAGGGGAGGTTTCAGGCAAGTAGATGAGAGTAGTAGAATAGATTATCTTTTCTTTGGTCGACTGGAAAAGAATAGTGTTCGTTTTTCAGCATTTTCTACTCAGCAACATAAAGTTAAATTACATGAATTATATGAGATATCCACAACTGTTGTCTGAAAGTGTCTGAAAGTGTCTGAAACAGGGCTGGGCAATAGATAATAATATGAATAACTATCGCAATATAATTGTCATCAATAACAATGTATGAGAAGTCCAATAACATAACACTAATTCCACATTGAGGTGGTATAACACATCATTGATAAGACTCAAATTTTGCAAAGCTGGTGCAAAGTTATTCTCACTGAAGAAAGGGTGTAACTGCTAAAAATCCATCCACTAAAAACCCACTTTACAAAGTGGCCATGCAATCAGTGGTTTATACTTATTGTACCGAATCAAGATAAAAGTGACAACGAATCCCAGTTGTAGGAACATAATTAGATATAATGAAGTTGATTCTGTCTTTAGACCATCACCGAAGGTGCTTGGATCTTTATACTTAAAAAATACTAACAATGATCACAGTAATTATCGACTAGTATAAACACTGTCTTGGTTAAATTGACATTAAGAATCTAGATTAGGAGATGCACGATCAAAGTACAAACATATCCCAGTTATCTCAACATGACAAAACTGATTCTTTCATTTATCGTTATAATTATCAATAGTGACTGATCAACATTTTTATCTTGATATAATTCTCGTCTGAACCTACACAAACACGAGTGACACATTTCTACAACCACACACTTGGATGTCCATAAACACAGCACGATGCTTACTGAGAGTTTGATGCCACAGTCCATGAGATGGGCCCGGATGGTAAATTCGGCCTCTCCTGACTGGGCCGCGCTACACGCACTGTATTCGGTTGCTGGGTCCGAACCAAGCCGCAGGTGTCTGCCGTCCACCTGGAGGCCCGTATCGAACAAGTCCGCCTGCACCACGACCTCCATGGAGTCCGGATGGCACCTGACCACCACAGGCCGAGGCCGCGCACCGAGCTCCGGGCTGTGCTGCTGCTGTTGGGCCGCAGACACCGCGGGCCGGGTGTAGCTGTGGCTCCAGGTGGGGCTGAGGTTGTTGTGCACTAACTGGCTCTCTGCGAGCATGGAGACTGAGATGAGGACGATGATCCACCAGGGAGAAGAAGCAGTGGTTGTCCGCAGGTTTGGCGCCATCCTCGGGCTCGAACGCTCTGGAAGACACGTGGTCCGACATGAGCTCAGGTTTAAGTCACCTCCCCTGATTGAAATGAGCCATTCACACACACCTGGTCTGATCTGAACCAACAGTCACCAAACTTACACAGAACTGCACATCCACATTACTGTGTGAGGTTAATCAGCACGAAGAAAAGTGATTCGATCTTGTTTATATACATATGTAATTTAAACTGACTACACGTGACTGTTTATACCTTTTGTTTATATTGTGATGCTTTGGTCAATCTACATGCGGTATGTGCTGTTGTCCACTAGATGTCACTGTAATCGTATATCAGTTAATTCTATTCTCACCTAATAAATAGATCAATATGTATGAGGATGAGTCATAAAGAGGCAAATATCTGAGGTTATCCTGACCTGAGCCCTTTGGACTAAGATAAGATAAGACATGGCATGATATGGTATGGTTAGACAAGATAAGATAAGATAAGGCATGATAAAATAAGATATGATAAGGTAACATGGTAAGTTAATATAAGATAAACTGTACTGATTCCAGGGTTCACTTGTCAAAGTAGCAGATAAAGACGAAGACAACAACAATGAAGAGAAATACATAAAGGTAAGAGTATAAATAAAAGGTAGTAAAAAATATGTGCATTATAATGCAATATATAAAAGAAGCTGAATAATAATATGTAAACATACAGAATATACAATATTACAATATTTACATTAGAAGATCATTTATTATATCTTACTTATTCTGTGTCTATGTGTAGGACTCTGGTCCACCACTTCAGTCCGTGGTGTCACACTTTTTCTGTGTTAACACCGTCAGAGGTCACTCTCAACCACAGCAGCCACAAAAGTCAGTTGTGCACCTGAAAAACTGTTTTTCACTTTCCGTCAGGTTTTATAAATACCTAACACTGCTGATCTCCTCTTCCAAAAGAGTTTCACCCAAAACCAAGAAAATGTGTTATTTCAATCTGGAAGTACTGGGCACTGAGCTGAACACTAGTTAGTTGACGATAAATACTTACAATGTGGTGATTGACGCTTGATTCCTTCTGCATATACAATCATTTTTTACTGATAATATTCACCTGATAATAATATTTAATATTAAATATTATACTATTTACAAAGCAAGTAAATATAAAATGCATATTCTGAATTATTTGTATGAACTCTTAAATAAAATAAGTTTTAAGCAAAGATGAAACAGGTTACATCTAATCTATTCAGCAGCAGATTTCAGAGCTGCTGATTTCAAAGCTTGCTCAGTTACCAGCCTTGACTGATGCACTACTGGCAAGTATTGTTTGTAAGATCTTAGGTTGCGGTTCGGACCTTAAGAGTCGTCTTGTGCAACACACAACTTTGTAGTCATTATTTTTGCATTTAGGCTTGTGAGAAACAATATTTTGTTCAGCTGTTTAATTTGTATGCAGATGAATGACAGTAAAAGTAAACTTGAACTTGCTGATTATCATCACTGGATTTTAAAAGTGAAGGATAAACAGACACTCTTGCATTTTGTTGGTACTTAATGATCAGAAGATGGTCGGGCTGAGTTGGAACCAGTGAAACACGCTCAAAATAATAAAATCACATTTTGATGAATTCAGGATCATTAAATTAGCAGTTTTTTCCTGCTAATCACACACATTATATTGTAGTTTAGCAGTTGTGGTAGTCACTGATAAGCTCTTGCTTCAAAGAAGGAAGTCCGATAACTAAATCAATACTTGCTGTGATGATGTAACTAAAATCCTCTTACAGTGACACATTTCCTGGAATTGAAGTGAACAGATTGAACAAAAGAACGAGACATCAGCTGGATTTATGCAAGGAAAAAATATTTATTTTATGATTCTCAGAACCAAGTGAATATCAACAATAAATAGTTGAAAATAAATAGCCAAGAAATGAACACAAATGTAAATAAATAGTATCAAATCTGTTAATCCACTTTCTAAAAAAAGTACTTTAACACACCATCTTGATGTAAGATATACATTAAATGATAAGATAAGAATAATAAATATATATAAATATAAGAAGTTGTGGTATTTTCTCTCACAACTAAAATGGGACACAATCAATTACTGTAGATTATGGAACTATGGTAAAGGTATTGTAGTTTATGGAACTAAAGTGGTTCTGTGTGTAGCTTTCTGAAACTATCATTGTGTCAGAGCACTCTAGAGAATTGATTTAGTGTGGACCCCAGAGTTCATGTATCCGAAGACCCTGTTGATAGTGATGGTGCGGACTTGGAATCCCTTCATCACTTTGCAGAGTCTCAGTCTTTCATCGAAGCTGCTCAGACCATCCTCAGAAGCCTTGATGAAGGATGACAATGAAGGATTTTTACAGTAAAACAATTTAAACATGTTATTTCTGTAAGTTTGCATCAGTGAAATGCATCACTTACCTGGTTTGAGGCCAAGTCTGTTGACAGAGACCGCTGGACGCAGTTCTGTTTGGAGCAAAGGATTCATGTTTAACACTTAACTGTGTGTCCAATAGTACAAGAGCTGTTTTTAGGTTTAGAAGTGCAGGGATTTCACTTGAAACTTCTCTGTTGTAGCATCTCTAAACTAACCATCCTTCTTTCACATGAAGGTTTATTGAAAACAGATCAGAGCAGAATGTGACTTGGTGCTAAAATACAACATGTTGTGTGAAATGAGTTACCTCCATGAGGGATTTGAGCAGAACAGTTGTTCCAAGCAAACCCTTCGGCTGAGCTGCGAGAAAATTGTAGTAGTGATGCAAATCCTCCCCGATGTTTTCAAGACATGAATTCTGGATGAAAAAACAAGAAAGGTTTGTCATCACAAACAATATAACTATAATAATAAATACAAATCATTACAATATAATGTAGAAATAATATATTTGACATTTTAATAAAGGATGGGAATAGGTAAAGGTATTTTTAAAGTAGAACAGCTTGACTCACTTGATCAAATTCTGTTTTAGTGATCCCAGTGCATGTTGATCCCTGTGGGAGAATCACAGTTCGTTTTAATTGTTAAATTAAAATATACAGGCACAGTTACATAATATTTACCAAAAGTTAATTGTATTAGGAGATAATACATAATCACACAAGCAGCAAACTTTAGAATATAGTAATGTTATCTGTTTTACTATCATGGTTTCAATTTTAGAATATTATCCTGAGTCTCATTGATGAAATATAGCCCATCTAAACAGTGAGAGCTTTCATCACGTACCTTTGGTGCACACACAGATGGTGTATCAGTCTTCATGTTCAGCTCCACACTCTGCTTTGAACAGTCAAACCCACTGAACAGTTCATCCTAAAACAAGGAAAGATCTTTTTCTTTAAATCTGTGAATTAAAGGTAAAGATAACGAATATTCATCTTCATTCAGCTTCAGCTGCGTACCTGTGCAAGCACATCAGTGATGTTCTGTAGAAGCGTCCGTGCATGTAAGACGCAGGAGTCCGTCATTGGTCTTTTACCCATCATCGGCAGAGAGTGTCCGACATGCCACAGAGGACAGCTGAGCACGAGGAGCAGGAGTGCAGCAGGGATGTCTGTCAAAAGAGAGAAAACTGGTTTTAATAAGTAAATCTTGAATTTTTAAAGAGTTGTTCAGTTGGTGGATATTATACTCACAGAGCTTGGTGAACGGCATGTTGTATACAACTGTGGATCCAGAGTCTGACTGCACTCAGATGTTGTTAGGTGTTTTATACTCAGGGTGATGTAGGGATTTCCCTCACATTTAAGCAGCACTTTGACACCCTACTGTAAATTGAAAGAGCACAGTCAAGGTTGTGTAATTTCCTTTCCCCCAAACTATACCACCAAATACTTTGGTGAAACTGGAATTACCACAGTTGCTGAGTAAAAGGCCTTTACATCTATCCTGAGGTTACCATACCGCTTTACACTGGTGACTGTTCTTTGTTGACATTTCCACATAGGGGACGGCAGAGTGAAAGCAGCATGCATGTTATTTTATTCTGTAAATGTGTAAATGTCTAATAGGATTGACCAGGTTCTGTGTTTCACTGAATTAATATAATTTACAGTAAGTGTTGATTCGTTGTGGATCCAGATCAGGGGGCAGATCAAGGACTGGCCACTAATTCATAATGTTTCTTTAAAATGGCAAGATAGGACGTTTTCAACATTTCCAAAAGAATGAGCACTTACTGAACACTTAACGAGATCTTGATTTAAAAAGTTTGATTTAAAATATGTGCCATGTTTAGGAAAACTGATATTTGTTTGAGTACTTTTAGTTGGAGGTATGCACTCTCTGAGTACCATTGTTATCCTATGTTTTTAAATGATTAAAGCCAAGTTAAAATTAATTCTGTCCATATATGAATGAGACTTTAGATTCTAATATACTGTAAGATACTGTAAGAGGTGCGACAAGCAACAATACCCAGCAGGCAAGCAATTATTTGATGTTTCAATTATTACTTACACCAGATTTACTATTAAAGAATTTGTGATACGTTTTAACACTGTGTATATTATTTGCCAATGTAACCAGAGTTTTGTCTCATAGGTGGTTGACCTGAGAAGTGTCAAGGCCTCTGTAGGAATGTGTTTGATTAGTTTTATGTTTAGTTTTTGGAGCTTATCCTGTCCTGGCTCTGAGACAAGGGAACCCTGGGAGCTTGTGTCTCTCAAGAAAATAAAAAACAACCCTAATATGATTTACCGTGACTTAGACTTATCATCTGCTCCCTCTCATATGATTTCATGCTGAAACACATCTATTCAGGTATGAAAATGTACCCTAAAGAGATTTGTGCCACTGAATGTAAAGTAAGAACTGAGGCTCATTTTTTATCCACTCATGGGAAGGCTTTTTTTCATCAATCACCTGAATACAAGTTTTAACTTCATCTATCACAATTTTTTACGAATATGAACCAATTAATTTAGACAATGATAAAAATCTTAAGCTAGCGAGTTTATGAAGCTAAGCCGAGTGTAACTGATTGTTATTTTTGTCCCTGCAGTCAGAGTTGTTCCCCTCTTATCTAACTGTCAACAGAAGTGTGAATACGCAGAGAAACTCAATCACACCACCTTGTGTGACTCATGAATACATGAATGAGATCAGACTCACTCCCACATTACACATCATGTGGTTCAAGAGGGGAAAATAAATTGTGCAGATTTACTTGGAACATGTCAAATGCAAATTCAATCTCAAGCAATTTTCACACCATTGAAGCGTTTATTAATGGATCCTTTTTTTACAATCATTATACAGTACATTGATCAGTGGAGCAAAAAATAGAAAAAGAACGTTTGTGTTAACCGACATTCTTAAAAAGCTCCTAAACACACACAGGGCATGTCCTTCATCCTTTTAGTCTTTTAACATTTACATACAGCGTGTCCATAAACATTTTAAACAGATAAAAGAGATATAGACTATAATTTATTGATATTATTATTTAATGTTAAACTTCTTTCTGTCACATTGGTAAATTGAGTTTAACAACAATCACATTGCATATCTTTTGATTTGGAGGCCGTCCACATCAACATGTCTTCTTGTCACTTCTGCTTCATTTCACCCCAAATTACTTTTAACCCACATCTCGTCATTTTGTCGATTGTATCAAGTATCGCCAAATTTGACGAAGACAAATTCCTCAAATGTTTTTCTCTTAATGTGTCTCTTATTGCACACAGCATTTAAAGCTCGAAACTGTGACAGCCAGTTGAGTGTCTAAAGAATTTTTACGAGACTTCTTTGAAGCATTTAGATGACCGGCGACGCTACCAGCTGAGAATGTTCATCCTTTCTGTTGCAACAGCTCAGACAATAGATGTTTAATAGAGAATTAAAAAGTGATGACAGTGCTTCTAGTGAAAGAAAGAAGTAAATACGTTTACTACAATGGATCAATCTTCTTGATCACTCTATAGAGATAGAGGAAATACAAAGTCAGCTGATCTTTATGTCCCTGAAAGTCATTATCCTTTCTGAGAGAAGTGAGAAATAAAGTGTGCAGGTGTTTCCTCCCACTCTGCATTAACATACATGAGTGTACTGTGCAAAGTCATAAGGAGGTAAATCAGTGTTGGGATGGAATGAGATCAAAGTGTTTCCACTAAATCTGTGAAATATGCTCTGGTTAATCATGCCGGGGTGGAAGTGAGAAGCCTGCACAAACTCTGCTGTGTTCATATTGAAAGCAGCCCCCCTCATCAGAAACAGCACAGATGGAGTTTCATTGGTAACACTGGTGACGGTCCACGGAGCGATGCGGGTTGGATGTCGTGCAGACGGAGACAAGTGAGGACCGGGCGATGTATTTATTTAGAGATGGCTTTCTCTGCCTGCTGCCGATGGTGGCTGTGAGCATGCCTGTGGCAAAAAAAACAAGAATAAGACTCGAGCACATGGACGTTCCAGTAAATGTCCAAACACAGCGCACGTGTTAAAATTTGACAGGTGGGAGAGAGAGGAGATGTTCACCTCGTGAGGTCCTCTATGTCCACCAACATGGCGTCCTGCTCCACATGCAGCTCATCCCTCATTAGGAGCAACTGCACCAGCTCTTCATTTAAACCTGTGTCAGATCATACATGGTTTTTAAAAAGTCCTTCATACCATGTACCATAAGTATTTCTGACACCCCGAAGTGACATCCAATCCCCAGATAGGCAACGACAAGATATTGTGTGCAATACAAAATTGGGCCTGTTTTACTTACTGTTGTTGTAGTTTATTTTTTCTATGACTCTGTGTCTGTCATTGTTTCTATCTCGATTATCTGTTCTCATGTTGTTGCTCATTACTTAGTGAGCTGAAGACAATATTCCACTTTGGTGGACAATACAGTTCTACTCTACTCTACGCTTTGAAAATGCTTTAAAAAACTATAAACTGAAAATAACCATAAAACTGAAAACCATAACTCCAGGTGTTTAAGGCTGATCGATTCTTTAAGGTCCATTGTGTAAGATTTAGGTGAAAGGGAACTATTGGCAAAAATGTAATGTAGAATAATCCTCATGATGTTTTTACTAGTTGGTTTCATCTAAATTGTATCAATTGTAGTTTTCTTTACCCTGGAAAAGACCCTTTATATTTAAATACTATATTCACATCGAGGGGACCCTCTCTACGGAGGCCGCCATGTTTTTTACATTAGTCCAGACTGAACACACTAAACACCTTTTGAGTTTTTATGATAATTAAAGGCTACCAAAGGTTCTTTTTCCTGTTTGGAAGGAGAGGGTGAGGTGAGGGCTGTTCAGCTGCAACATGAAATTTCAACACTAGATATCACAAAATTCTACACACTGTACCTTTAAGTCTTTAAAATATCTTAAGCCTTCTTTCACGTTTCTGGACAGTTAAAGAGCAGAGATCTCAGTAATTTTAAAAGGGAAAGATACTTTCTATCTCTTTTCTTTCCTCTAAAGCAGTAGAAGGTATATTAAAGAGTTTGTAGCAACACTAAAGTTGAAACTGCTGCTGATTATTCTTCACATTGGATATTTTTTCACCAGCACACAATAATATGCAAACATAGCAGGAAGACAGTAGAATTTGTTGAGTGTATCTATTATCTTCCAGGTGATCTGTTCTACTCACTCTGGATCTGTGAGTGTAAGTCATTTGTGATGACTTGCAGCTGACCAAGACTCATGTCCCTCATGTCCCCTCGCCTCAAATTCCTCTTCATCAAGCACTCGCTGATGTGAGGCAAATGGGGAAGCTGCAGATGTAAACACACAAACACAGACAAAGGAAAATGCTGTATAGATTTACGTGCACCACATTGTTCATCAACAATCTTTTCATTGTGAGTATCAGGGGGTTTCTCTTGGTCACACACACACACACACACACACACACACACACACACACACTATTTTAAAGTATGACCTTTTGTGAGAACATGCATTTATTGTGTTGTGTTTACTGTATTATTCTGTTCTGTGTTTCTCTCTCTAACTGACTAACCAAGTCAGCCACAGGTGAGCGTCTGTGCAGCTGTATCTGCCTCTCCACCTCCACCTGCATGCGGGCCATGGGTCGAGCTAGGGCCAACGCCACCCTGGCCTCCTCCTGCAGTCTCCGCTGCACCCGCCAGAACCCGCTGCAGTCATCTAACGCGTCAGAGTCCTCCTCTGCCGTGTCCCGGTCTGACAACGAAGAGCTCTGCTTGCTCTATAGGGGAAGTAGTGTAAGTGATATGATGTTGGCCACAATGTGGGTTCTCTGTGATAACAAAGAGCAATGAGAATATGTGGGACGAGACCGAAACAGTATGCATACCACAGGTGAAAGGGGTGTGTCCAGACTGGTTTCTGTCCTGCTGTCCTCGGCATCACTGTCTTTGTCACTGTTGCTGTCATTGACAAAACACACCTGCAGGTTCACCCCACTCTGCAGCCTGAGGAGAAACACACACAGGACACAAGAGGAAATGTTGACGTCATAATGAAACATTTACGATTTTATCTACACACAAACATTTCAAAAGACAGTAACTACAGAGTGTGAGATTAGTTATGAATATAAGTCTTTATATTTATCCCAATATACAAAATGTGCCAAAAATATATCCTAGAAAATTGTGCATATTCATTTATCGAAGAGAGGAGTGGAAAGTGGAGAAGCTGGGTAATGTTTGAGGAAAATATTCAAGCAGTTGTAGGATTCTTTACTGAATAATTGCAAACTCATTTCATTTATTGTAATTTCCACACAAAAAGCAAAAAAGTTTTGTAGGTCTCTGTACTCTGGCTGTTTCTCATGTGCCAGGTTACACAGGAAATGATTTGAGTCAGTTTGTAACGAGTGCTACTGTTTTGTCATTGCAAAAAAAAAAAGCTTGAATATTTGTGTTTTGTTTTGGCAATGGGGAATGGTAGCACATACTCACAATAAACATTTTGCAAAAGATTCAAAGGAAATACCTCCTCTTTAAAATGCTCATGTGAACGATGTGTCACAGATGGCAAATGTATTGTGATTTCTCTTAAAATACTGGGTCACATGGTTTGTGCTAAAAAAGGGGAATACACAAAACTTTGCTTTCAACTTTGTGGTGTTGTTTAAAGACCCTTTCCTGGTGGTGAGGTCCATAATGAAGTCTTCAGAGTCGTTGCTTGAGTTGACTTCTACCCCATCCATAAGCATCTTTAGGATAAATTAGAACATCTACTGTGACCCTGGACCTTACTGCAAAACATAAGTGCCCGACCTCACTAATGCTCTTAGTAATAAATGGGTGTCCCTGCAGCCAGGTTCTAAAATCCTATGGAAAGAGCAGCAGAGGCAGTTATAGAAGCAGATTAATGTCCTTAGTTTTGGAATACCTTGTTCAATGATTGCTCAGGAAGTACAGTGGGTCGTCAACTAACCAGAAGTTCGATGGTTCAATTCTTCCTGCTGAAGTGCCCTTGGGGCAAGACCTTGAAGCCCACTTTACCCCTGGTGGCTGTACCATCAGCGTGTGAGTGATGTGTGACAGAGAAAGTGCTGCACATATATGCACTGTATTAATGTGTGTGTATGGGGGAATGGCAAAACTGTACTGTAAATAACTCTGAGTGGTCATCAAGACTAGAAAAGCTGCTTTATAAATACAGACCATTCTAATATATTCATGTGTCCGCATACTTTTGGCCATGATGTCATGTCCTGACTGTGAGCTCATCATGCAAAAAGAAAAGAAACCAAAAACTTCAGCTAAACAATTCAAGGGACAGACATCACTCCGGGTCGTCCACAACGGTTACATGGAAGCCATTGAAACCTTAACCTCAGCATTTCCAAAAGCTCAAAACACAATTCACTGAATTCCAGATTATGATACTCTGAAAGAACCTAAGAACCCAAAGGAACCTCCCCCTCCAGCCTTTATAAGGATGACAACAATACCACACAAATGTCACTAACTGGACACGGTGGTGTTGGAATTTCCAACCCAAACCAAATCCCAGAGGGTGCAGGCTTACCTCCAGAGGAGATCACATGAACCCATCCCCACCAATCACAGCATCTGACACACATCAGGCACCACTTCTTCTTTCAGGAGCATTCAAGAAACTAGTGCACACACATATATACAAACATCTGCACTTCCTCAAATGGAAGCCACTTCCATGGGGGGGGCTGGGGGGGGGGTCACTGCAGGTTTAAGCTGTCATGAAAAGAAAGACGAGTCCTTTCATAGATGTAGTGGCTTTGGTTTACCAACTTGTTTCTGATGTAATGCAACTCTTTCCACTGTGTGTGTGTGTGTGTGTGTGTGTGTTTGTGGACGTCACACACCTCAGCTACAAATATCTTTTTAATGTGAAAAAAAGTTTGATTTCACATGTCGATTCTTATGTATGTATATTTTTGGAGTGAAAGCTTTAGGATGCATAATGTTATTAATAATGCTATTTATCAGTGAAACATTATTTAAGATGCAATTTTGTAACAGATCTTATAGGAACAATTTATACAAATCCTATAATCCATTCACTGTAATGCATTTTTTTAAAGAATGCACTGCTTTATTGGCAGAATATAGATATTGGCTTTGCCACACAATGATCATATCAGCCATATACTGTTTTGAACTATTTCACCATCACTGCATCCCTGTTTTTTATTGCAGTCTGTAACGTCATTTTCATTGGGAAATATATTTCATTTTAGCGTGAGAAGAATCAACAAATGTCTGATTCATGAAGCCAGGTCACATTAGTTTCTGCATTAGGGACTCACACACCATGAGGTTAACCATCGTGCCACCTCCTCCATGCTGCACTGTTCCCACACTCATGCTTCTTTGTTCTGCTGCTCGGGCGTAAATCAGTGATGGCTCAGTCCGACATTATTTCCCCTTTGACTGTTAACAAAACCTTTCACTTTCACTTTCACTCAGGAGGCTTGCTCGTTCCCAACTCTGACAGAGACACGAGCGGAAGGTAATTCCAAGTATTTACTTCACTCCGCCTTTTACACTGTACCTCACTCATCACCACACAATCCAATTTCCGCAGAACTCTCTGTCGTTTGTCTTTGTGACCTTTGAGTCAACACGACATTGTTTTTTGGATTTTTGTGTTGTTGGTATAATTTTCTCTCAGTTTTTAGCTGCACTGAGCTGCTGAACAGCTCCCTCTCATGGTTGTTAAATAGCTGCTCGTACTTGTCAGGCAGGGCTCAGGTAACATGTTTCCAAAAGGCTAAGTTTTTTAAATATCACTCTTTCATCATCGTGTACTATATGTGCAATATTACTTCTGCACAGTATTATATTAAAGGCATTCATTATCATGTGCAATACTTGCTTCTCATTTGAAATTTCTAATTATACTTTTTTATTCTTATTTGAGTCTTGTTTCCAGTTTATTCTTTTTTATTTATATAATTTATCTCACTTGTGTTGTTATATATTCAGGCGCTTGTCCTCTTTTACTCCTCCTCATTGATATTTTTAACTTCACTTATTTTTTAACACTATTATATTATTCTTTATTATTGTAACTTTGAAGCGAGATCCATAAATGTGATATTTCACTTAATCTGCAAATATTTAATTTTATAAATGGTTTTCATTGGTGGCTAATACTAATACTTCTTGGTTTGTCATTGTGATGAGTAAGTATTACAATAAGGCCCTTTATACAGGACGCATATCCAATCTACAAATCTTATAATAAAGTTTTACACTCTGGCTTTGGAATAAATCAAAAATATTTCCGGTTAATTAATAATTAATTGAAATTAGGGAGTATATCACTGTTTTTGTGCCATTATTCCAAAAATAAAATAAAACAATTTTAAAGCTTCAGTGTCAGCTGTCAGCAGCTAAAATGAAAATATTGGTGCCAACCTTCAAAAAGCTCTGTTGATCAAACTGTAACACACAAACACACACACACACACACACACACACACACACACTCATTCTATTCAAACCTACCGGGAGGATGGGCCGTTCTTGCTGCAGCTGGTGTAGATGACAGGCTCGTCGTCATAGAAACTGCCAAGGGCAAGTTTCTGCCTGATGGACTCTCTGTCGTTCCTCTGGGCCTGTGAGAAACCCAGAAAAGCGCATGAATACAAAGAATATTGATTTTTTTTCAAAGTGCTGACTGCTCCTCCATCCATGCTTGATTGATCAAGTGGGACATACTCATGAGAGGAAATGATCAAGATGACTGTGTAAATTCATATTTGAATTTTGGTCTTTGTATACTTATGGATACCAAAGCACTATCTGGTTGAAAGGAGGTGTGGTGTCTGAAATGCCATGTGCTGTGTTCTTTTTAAAGGAAGCTGATCTCTGGGTTTGAAGCCCATAGGCCCTGAGGATTCTGATGTCCATAAGTTTAGGCTTTCAGAGGAAAACTGAATGTATACGTTAGGGCATTAGGTCACAGCTCTAACTATCACTCTAAATTTGAGCTGGCACCTTTCCGTCCCTTATACCAGGCAGATGAGGTGGGCTGGAGGAAAGACCAGATGTGTTTTCTTTAGATTTACTGAAACAACTCTCCTATATAAATAGGGAGTTGAAGCTGTTAGCCAGAGAAGGGATTCACATTGGCCCCGGATCTCTCTCCAGGCAGACTGCAGTGCTTGTATTGATGCTGAACTTTTTCTAATAAACCATTTATACAATCAAGAACGGTGTCATTGGATATTCCTTCATCATCTTCACATCATCACTACCCAAATATACAACAGAGGATAAAATGAAAACACAGTAAGGAGGAGGAATGAATGCAAATTATTGGTAAAGAGAACTCAGCTGTCATTATGACTGCATTTAACACTAAGTGAATTATAAAATAGGTTAAGTGCCTTCTCTTCTACTTTCCACAAGCTTAAAGAATAGCTGCAGACATCACCACTTAGATAACACTTTTCCTTTCTTTTTATATGTCTCTAAACAAAAATATCATTTTTGTAACATTTTACAGCCATACACAGAACAAAATCACATTGTTATACTACATTTAGATTTTGATTTAAAAGGCAAATCATATGCTCTGATTTCCAAACCACAGTCCCACAGAAACTCTGCCTTTGCTCGCAGGTCCAAATCCAAGTTTTTATGCATTTATTGCGTCCGCCACGGAGGTTATGTTTCCATTTGTGCTTGTTTTTTGGTTTGCAGTATTACACTTAAACTGCTGAACAGATTGTCAGGAAACCTGGTGGAAGGATGCCATATGGGTTAGCAAAGAACCCATTAAGTGTTGGTGTGAATCTCTATCAGGGGGCGGATCCAGGTTTCATTAACTTCGCTTGTTTTTAACATTTTCACAAATTTCCCGGAGAATAATTTGTGGATCTTGATAAAGAAATCAACTTGATTGAATTTTAGAGGGCTACTGGACCTTGGAGTAGGTGCTGAGTACCATTCTAGTTCAGTCTGTGTTCGCTATGTTATAGACTGTTAACCTGCAGACAACCTGTAAGATGTCCCATACCCCTGATGCATCCTGGGATAGACTACAGCTCTCAGGAGTGCTTGGATGACTCTGGAAAAGCACGATTAACATCATGTTCTGTTTCTGTCAGTTAAGATATCAACAATTCTCTTCTTTTAACCGCATTAAATCTTTAAGGTCATTGGACTCTTGTTGCTCTAAGCTGTCCTTTAGTTCTCACCCACGCTAACTTATCCATCACCAAGACAGCAGTTACTGTATCCATAGTAAACTGGTTAAAGATGCCATGTCATTCTGCTCTTGTATTTCACAACACTCCCTCTGTCCTCTTCTCATGTATCAGGGTGTCTCACTTCTCAGCATCCAGAGATTTCATTGTCCTGATTTAATTCTGACACATTTCCTCCTCCTCTTCTTTAATTTATATTCTTCCATGGATCTATCTGTTTCGCCCTCATCTCAGCTGTAGATGCCGTCAGATCCGGTTTGTCTCTCACTCTACAGAATTGTTTTAGGCCGTTTGATCTTCAAAGTCTCACAGTTTTTGAGTCATATTAAAAAGAAATGTTTCAGCACAGCAGGATTTTCTATTCTGGCCTCATGGAAAGTATATCTCTATTCTGGGATTGTGCCAAATGCCAACATTTCCTATGTGTGTGCGTGTGTGTCTGAAACCCACCCTCATCACCAACAGTCATTGTATAACACCAGCAAAAATGGAGATGTTTCTCTTATGTGACCTGATTCTCTCTCTAAATAATGTGAAAACCGGACCAACACACACACACACACAAACATGCACTCTTTTTGTGACTCATCATTATATGATATTGTGATGTAAGAACATAAATCATAGTTGATCGCCTTGACTCAGCCAACGCAGAGCCTCCTGCTCATCCTCCTCAGACAACTGAATGTCCTCTTCATCATCTGTCTACACACGCACACACACACTATCTTTATTTATATGGAATGAAAAAACACCAAATTGTAATTGTAATTCACTATAAATTGTAGAATAATTCTATGGAAAAAATGAACAAAGCAGGTTATGATTCACATAGACATCAATCGTATTGGGATTGATTCATTTTTGATTTTACAGATAAGGTGTTAAAACACCAAGATGAGCAGATAAATATCACGTAAAAACACATGCACTCCCTCTACAATCACACATGCACTCGTCCAGATGGCTGATTCATCCACAGCAGCACACCCATGATGGATACCCATCACATATACCTGTGAATATTATGCTACATATGCCACACCCTTCAAATGATACACAACCACATACACAAGGAACAAATCTACACACCTGGTAAACGCGTTTCTCCTGGTGAACCATCCTTCAGTGCATCGTACTGAAACAGTCGTCGTGCCCTTTTCTACACTGCAGTGAAGCTAGACCCAGGAGACCCTCTCATATACTGCAGCTCCATTCAGGAGAGGGAGGGAGGGAAGAGAGAGGCATGAGAGAGAGGAGGGGGGGAGTAATGTGGGAACAGGAGAGGAAAGAGTGGGACGAGGCGGAAGCGGAGGAGGAGAGAATAATGAAGGGAGAGATGGAGCTGCTCAGTGCTGCCACGGCTCCTGATCTGTTTTCTGTTCCTCCTTCTTCCTCACTCTCTCCTGGTTTCTCGTTGCTATCTTTCATTTATTGAATCCTGATAAGAGGTGACAGATAAATAAATGAGTGCAGCAGTGGAAAACAAACCATTAAAGAGGCCACAGCTGATCAATGAAACCTCCCCTAATAAATCTCAGCACTTCGGAGCAACACGCCGCCATGGCGTCTGCGTCTCGACCCAAAGCACAGCAGATTTTTAATTGCACGTTGTCTTCTTTGTTTTAGCTCCTAAAGGAATCGGCTCCCCCAGCCCCATTCCAAAAATCACAGATTCAAGTGTGATGAGCCGTATGAGAGAGACAAGGAAGAGCAGGGTGCACGTGCCCACACGTGCGTACACAAACACAAACACACGCCCACACACTACACACACATGCACACAGTTAGTTGTGCTGTGTCACAATGCAGCAGTGGGATGATTAAACAACACATTTTGAATCATCCCTCATCAGCATCAGGAGCCAAATATCCAGAGGCTCCCCTTCCACACATTTCTCTGCAGGCCTTTCTAATCCCACAGTCTCTAACTATACTATACTATACTATACTTTATTACAGCCAGACACAGCGGAGGACTGCAACTTATATTATGTTAACATTACTATATATTGTATCATCAACTTTTGCTCTTTGACTTATTTATCTTTATCTAAATGATTTTGTTACTGTCTGTATTAGTCCTACATAATTACTGACTACACATTTCAATAACTTACATCACATAACGACATCATGTATAGTATTATTATTCTTGCACCAACAATCACTTTGCACTATCCACCTCTTATGGTAATGCATATTTGCACAGCCTCCATAGACACATACTGCTGTACTTCCATAACTCTTGAGGGTTTTTTTTGGTCCTGTATGCTTATTTGAATCCATCTGTCTAAATTTTGTAGATGTCTGTTATTTAGAAACCTGGACCCGGTCTGTTTTCTTCTGGTAAAAGAGATGTCATGGAATTTCTCATAACGGATGAAAGTGGATAAAGGAAACAGGAGGAGAAATCACTCACAGAGATGCTGGAGATTCTGCTTCGCCCTCCACTGTAACAGTCTACAGCCTGTGGTGCAAAGATATCCTGGAGCTCCTCAGCCCAGCTGCGGCTGTTTACCATGCAGCCTCTCCCCCCTCTCTGGTGATGTATATCACAGTTGCCATCGTCCCCACAGTCCTCCCACCAGTGGCCCGCTGTGGCCTTTCTCATGAATAAGTCTCCCTCTTCTTCCTCGTCCCTTTCCACATCATAGTCGTCCATGAAGACGAGCTGTATCAAGAGGGTGGGGCAAATGTCACGTTTCAGGGAAGGGCTCAGTGCTCTGGCCAGGACTATGGCCAAAGAGAGAGTGAAGATATTCAGAGGGGGACAGATTTCTCTCTAAAATTGACCACTACAATACTGGCAGTATCAGCCTCTGTGATTTCTATGGTGTCTTTAAATTTTCTGTGACAGAACATATAGAATAAATAGAATAACATAATTGCAATATGGTCTTAGATATTTAACCATGTTAAAGCATGTAACATTTTTCATGCAGACACTTTTTTTTGGTTTGTTATTTTTAATATTTATCTAATACATTCTTCTATGTGCCGTACCTTGTTCTCATTGATACATGAACATTTTGAAAGTTTAACAGACTTCCATGACCCATGTATCCATTAGAGAAAAAAACACTGCTGATTATTTAAGTGAAAAAATATAAAAAGACAAAAGTTACATATATTTGTACTTACACACATACATGTATGCCAATCTCCATACATATGCACATGATGTAAATATAAAGTATTTGAATATAAAGGGCCTTTTCTGGGGTAAAGAAAACTACAATATAATATATATCTAGATGAAACGAACTAGTGAAAACATCAGAATTATTCCAAATTAAATTTCTGCCAATAGATCCCTTTCACCTAAATCTTACACACTGGACCTTCAAAGAAAAATTTAAAAAATTGTGTTTATTACCATTAACTGATTGCATGACAATTACACAGACTTCATAATACAAGTGAACTTCCCTGTGGGGACAGGAGAGATTTATCTTAACTTATGTAATCACAGTATTCAGTCCATTTTCACCATCTAATTTCTGCTCTTTATCTTTGGTTCCTAATTGTATATGTTAAACTTTCCATAGTATAGATTTGATCAACCATATATTGAAATATGATATATAGTACATGCTGTGCAGTATACTCACCTACATTGTAGACATGTGACGATTCCATAAAATGCAAGTAAAAGTGCAAAAGCAGCATTACAGAAGACAACTGCTGTTCCCAAGCATGGATTAAAAGATTTCTTTTGCAGAGCAGTTTTACTCCTGAGCTCAGTGCTCTTAATTCTTGCCAACTAACACTCTAGAGCCGTTTTAAATGAAATGCAGACAAGCGTCCATGCTCATAGACCAGCATTGCACGTCTCTGTTGTCAAGTGTGGCTTAGTTTCAGTGATGTGTGGAGATCCTTGATTTGTGTGTGTCTTGCCATGGGGGGATTGGAGGAGATAACACCATGTGGAAATATATAGGAACAGACAGAATGGGGTGGGTGCACACTGCATGAGTGCAGCAATCTGATTTCTAAAATATTACTGTTACCAGGCTGATGGAAAATATGTCTTATGTTATCAGACCTTTCAAGAGTTCCAAGCGTGATGTGACTTTGATATGTCCCAATTTAGAACCACCAGGATATGCCAAAAATATTACCACCATGGCATAAAAGGGAAACATGAAAACCAAGTTCCAAGTAAAACATGTTTATTGAAGGCTCAGTACAACAGGAAAGGAGCCCCTGAAAGACAAGACCATTATGGTTGATGAACAGCAACTCAGTTACCTTACCATTGCCTTACCATTTGAAAAAGAACAATTTAAGTTAAAGATTTTTCCAGTCAATTTGAGGAAAGCCATTCCCAGTTGTGTGGAAATGCCATGGCACAGCTCGCCAGTCGAAGCCTGGGTGTGCTTGAGCCTGTGGTCCAGATTTGTAACCATCTTGAGGCATGTATTTTTCGTGGTCTAGGAGTTTGCCAGCTTTATTGTAGGCGTATGAAATGATTGGAGCAAAGGGGCTCTTGTGGTACTCAACAAATGGACTCAATTGGCCTGTATAGCTGCCGCTGCAGGATGTTGTTGGATTGGAATATGGTCCCGTCGTTTTTGTAGTGGGAGAAGCAGTTGTTGTTGGCGTCGCTGTAGGGCTTGTCTCGCTTGTTGTGCCACTTGGCTTAGTTGTGGAAGTAGGAGGCTGCGTAGTTGTTTGCATTGGCTGGAATGGGTATGGATGTCTTCCATAGATATGCTGTATGAATGGGTAGTAGTAAACATCAGATTTGTCAGGGACTTGCGGCAACTGCTGTCCTGCAGGAGGGTAAGGATAATATATAGGGTAATAGGGGTTCATTGGTGTTTGGGTCTTAGTAGTAGGGGCTGAGGTAGTCGTCGTTTCGGCCTTTGTCGTAGTCGTTTCGGCCGTGGTTGCAGGTGCAGTTGTGGTGGTGGTGGTAGCAGGTGCGGTGGTGGTGGTGGTGGTGGTAACTGGTGGCACAGTAGTACTCACAGGGAGTGGGTAGTAATAGTAGTTAGGGGAGTAAAAGTAAGGGTAATACATATAGGGAGGGTATACAGGAGGGTTTTGAGGTTTCTCTGTGGTCGGTTTGGATGTTGTGGTTGTGTCCGGCTCAGCAGTAGTTGTAGCAGGGGCAGTGGCTTGGGCTTGTCTCCAATATAAATAGTAAAAATAACTGAGTGGAATGCGAGGATCGTAGAATAAAATGGGCTGAGTTGCATGCCGTTTAGGACGATCATATCTTGTAGGCCTGTGAGGTACAGGACGTTTCCAGGGATGTTGAGCAGGCGTTGCATCAGGACTTTGCAAGATGGGGCAGATCAATTTTACTTTAGCCTCTCGCCACATCATTGAGACCACATAGTTTCCATTCTGAAAGGGAACAAAGCAAATTGATTGATAATGTACTTGATCTATTCAGTATTTGTAAATTTCTATTTCATTAACCAGTCTCATCCTAAAAAAAACAATTAATTTTACTTTGTGAAAAATCCAATACAAGCCTCAATAAACTAAAGCTGCATTGGTTGAGTTACAACTTGAATACCTTCAGTAGTGGTTAATTCATTTGCAACCATATACATTTTTAGCTAGTCGATTCATTAGGGTAGAGCAGTACCTCTTGTATCATATTGCAGCCATCATAGGGAGCAACCAAAACAAGACCCATAGCACTTTGTTGCATCGAGTATCCACAGCTTTCAGATAATTGGGTCAGAGGAAGGGGATCTCCCTTACCTGAGAGAGAGTAGTGCCAGAATTCTAAGTCAGGTATTAACAGCTTTAACAAATTCCCTTATTCAATGTGTGCATGTGTTTACAATACCAATATCTAGTTGTAAATCAGCAGCTCCAAGTCTCATGGCTGTGAAGTTCATCTGGGTTTGACCACAATGCAGAGCAGGGTTTAAGCGCCTCCATGCTCCTTCATTGGCCATGACTTCATTCAGCTGTGATGTCTGTGCAAACATCCCTTCAGAGGTTCAGACACAAGTTAATATCCTTCAGTTTTTGAGCATCAAGCATTTTTTATGTGGACGTTTGTAGGCAGCACATCAAATAACTATGAAACCTCACCTGAGCCTTCTGGTTCATCTGTAACGACATGCAGCAGTCCATCGTCATTTGTTGCAGCAGCAAAGGGAGATCCTGATTCGGAGCTCAGCTCTTTCCCATTAAAGAGAATGCTCCCTGTCAGTACCTCCACCACTGCTGCCACACTAACTACCTTATCCTGTTGAGCGTTTCTGCTCAATCCCCTCAAGCTAAAACAAGTTAAACTTGGGGCTAAAGTGCACAGGAGCAAAAGGACTGCCATATTTTGAAGTGACCTGCAGCACCACCCATCTTTACCTTCCATAGTGGAGCTGCACATCTGGTTTAGATGGATAGCACTACCGTGGAACCAAGCAACTAATAGAGGCTTTTGATACCAGTGACTTCTTGGCCTCTGGTGATCAACCAATCAGACTGGACTTTAGCTGCAGCTGCCTATGTGTTAATCAAGGTCACAGCAGGTGAGCTTGTTTAGACTGATCAGGTCAAAGTCAGCTCTGCATATTCAAAACAGGAGAGATGTGATGCTGTCAAAAAAAGTTAATTTTCATTTCAGGCAAAGTATTTTATCAGCATACACAGTAAATACTCACTGTGATAGTTTGACTTTGTAATGACATCAATTATTCAAGGTTTTTATGAGGTGTTTAAGGGACTTAAATAATTGTATTCATATACATTTTATGTCAACATCTCATGCAGGAATGTGTGGGGCATGAGCAAAGGAACATTGTGAGTGAGGGCGTTTTTTTAACATTTGCATTGATTTCTCAGGTAATAATTCATGGATTGTAAACAAAAAACAATACATATTAGGTGGGACTGATATTTATTAATGTGTGTAACTTGTGTGGATCCCCAAAAAATTGAGTGACTTTAAATGTAGGTTTTTAAGGAGCCAGTTGGGCCTTAGAAGAGGTTTGCACTGTATTGAGTAACACACTAGTTTCATAGTCATCTGAAAGAGTGACTATGCAAACACAAGAATAATACATGACAGTTCTGACTGGAAAAAGTTGAAATAACTGTGGATCGTAAAAGATAAAAAAAGAACAAGTAAATTCCAAAGTAGCATCAGTACATTTAACAATATATTTCTTGATATG